CGACCACATTTATTCAAGTATATAGTTTCTTTAAAAAAAAATTGTCGCATTTAGTAATACATTTCATCACAGTAGAATAATTCTTTACAAATTCATAAAATCAATTAAATATTTTTAGGTGACGTTAATGCTAGTTCATTTCTACAGATAAACATTAAGCTTGCAATTTTGTCGCTCATGCGCAGTTTATTTTTGTTGTAAACTAATTGATTCCTTGTTTTTAGTCCATCTCTTACTTAACGTTAGAAATTCATGTTCTGTTATTTCTTTACATTTTTCACAGTTGAAGATATAATGGTAATGCGCTCATCTTGTGGTTAATAGCAGGTTTTCTTACCGTAAATTGGCTTGAGATTCTAACATTCTAAAGTGGAATTCCTCCTGGGAATAGCGAATGACGCGGGAAAAACTGGAGGTAGGCCTAACATTACATTCGTTTAGACAGTGAATGATAATGTTACTGGTAATGGTATTGTATATTTTAGCGTTACAGTGTTATTTATAGATCAGAATTTATAAAAATCAACCTGTTGCCAAAAAGTAACACGAAATTCCTTAACAAATCTCTTTTTCTGAACCAGACTACAGCTCTTAACCAAAAGATGAACGCACTTCCATTAACTTACCAATTGTGAAAATGTAACGAAAAACAGAGCGTGAACTCCGATCGTTAAACGATTTATTGTAATTTATTTCGTTTGACTTATTTTGCTAAAAATTTTTAATTGTATCGCTCACTTCTAACGGTACATTATTTAGAGATTTAATCGTAACATATACTGCTGTTTGCAATCACCCCTGTAACTTGTAAGTGTAACATCCAATGCTGCTTCTGATTCTCGAAGAAAGGCTTTCCGATAAATTCAAACATTTTTTTTTATTGATGGGTCAAATAACTAGGTATTTTGCAATGGTTATTGTTAAACTATATAAATTTTTAATAGTTGTAAGAGTATGATAGTTTTATATTCAATATTGAGAAATATAAAATGTCTCATCCAAATTATTTTCCAGGAGCAGAGTGTAATCCCATAGTCCCAGATTTTAGATCTTGTGAATACGAAGTATACCGTGTTTGTGCCTTAAACATTGCAAAGGGCAGAGCCTCTAGGTTCTAATAGTAATATTCAATTATTTGTTTAATGTTTACTTATTAAACAAAACGGAGTTAGTGTCTATTTATTTATTAACTTTGTATTTGTGTACATCTAACATAGCTTCGACGACAAATTACTGTTAAAATAATTAAATGTATTTTAATTTGATCATAAGTGTAAAACTAAGATAAAGGAACTCCACACGTACCCCCCGAACTATCAAAAATGGACGGCACGTGCTCGATAGGGTTCATATCCGGCGAATGAGTTGGCCACAGAAGAGTAGTAAAACCCTGATTCTCATACCATCGTTTTATGACTCGAATTGAATAAGCAGGATTGTTAAGTATTTTGAACAATCCTAGGACAAATATAAAAACAGTAAACTATCCATTTAGCAAGTCTTTTGGTGGCTTTCTCTTTTGAGGCCCATGGTATACAGAGGGGATAGTTGGTCTTTTGTCCCTTGTTGCTACTGGCTGCCATGGCACTGGGTGAAATTTTCCTAGGTATGTGGCAAATGAATTCACTGGCGGGTCTATCATTATTGATCATTTGGAAGTGGTTAAAACTCTTGAGTCAGTGCAGAAATAGGTGTGTCTGGTTTAATCTTTATGCCCCCCAGTGGCACAGCGGTATGTCTGTGGACTTGAAACGCTAGAAACCGGGTTTCGATACCCGTGGTGGACAGAGCACAGATAGCCCATTGTGTAGCTTTTTGCTTAACTTCAAACAAACAAAACAAATCAATATTTATATTTAATAATTCGTTTTTCAGGTATTTTATTCTGTTACTGATGTTCTTTTCTATCTTTTTGATGTCTTTCTGTACTTTATCGATGTCCTTTTGTACTTCTTTAACGTTGTTGTTGTAATTTCTCTGTACATTTCCAATAGCTTTATCGATGCCCTTTTGCACTTCTTCAACGTTGTTGTTGTAATTTCTCTGTACATTTCCAATGGCTTTATTGATGTCCTTTTGTACTTCTTCAACGTTGTTGTTGTAATTTCTCCGTACATTTCCAATAGCTTTATCGATGCTCTTTTGCACTTCTTCAACGTTGTTGTTGTAATTTCTCTGTACATTTCCAATGGCTTTATTGATGTCATTTTGTACTTCTTCAACGTTGCTGTTTTAATTTCTCTGTACATTTCCAATAGCTTTATCGATCTTTATCAGGTGGCTAGGGCGCTCGACTCGCAATATGCGGGTCGCGGGTTCGAGTCCCCGTCCCACCAAACATGCTCGCCCTTTTAGCCGTGGTGGCGTTATAATATAACGGTCAATCCTACTTTGTTAGTAAAAAAGTAGCTTAAGAGTTGGCAGTGGGAGGTGATTACTAGCTGCCTTCCCTCTAGTCTTTCACTGCTAAATTAGGGACGGCTAGGGCAGATAGCCTTCGTGTAGCTTTGTGGGAAAATCAAAACAAATTCAATCACATTAATTTTTGATTTTAATTCTTCTTTAAATAGTATCTCCAGTGGCTCATTGGTAAGTCTGCAGACTTACGACGCTAAAATTAGTGTTCGATACTCGTGGTGGGCAGAGGTCAGCTGACCTACTGTTTAGCTTTGTGCTCAACCAAACAAAATTTGAATAGTACGTTTCTTTTAACTCCTTTTTTAAATTCCTGTCTATTACCTCTTGGGTCGTCTTTGAATTTATTGTCACATTCATTTAATTTTCTATCACTTTCTTCATGCTATTCATTTAACTTCCTCTCTTGTGCTTCTAATTTTCAATCTTGTTCTTCTTGACCCTCTATTAATTGTTTTACCATCTCTAGTAAAACTTCGACTTCTCTTCTGGATTTGTTTTCCATGTTGTAATCGAATCGAGGTATATTTTATTTTCACCAAAATAATCCCACTTCTGATGTCATTGTTGTAACGTGTTCTGCCACTTTTATACTCTGGCGAATTCTTTAAGATTACCTGGTAAAAATAATGTAAAGTCCAGTTCGCGTAACGATGACAAATTACTTTATTTCTTTCTTAAAGTTCGCCACAGGCTACTATCAGTTGAAGACATAATTTCACAAACAACATTTTCACTTTCAACAGGAATTTACTCGCTAATAGTACTACGACTACTTTACAAATAATGTTACTTGTTCAGCTAATAGTACTACGACTAATGTACAAATAAAGTTACTTGTACAATTTCACTGCTAATTGATTGAGGAGCTGAATATATGCGATAACAACACTGATTCAAATACTTCACTGTATGACAGGCTCACTACCAACTGAAAACAACTCATTCAATGCTTCACTGATTCTTGTATTTGTAACTGATGTCTCACTTCTAGATATTCGTCTAAGACTCTAAGTTACTAAGTTGTCGTGACGTTATCTAGAACATTCAGATATTCCAGGCGCCCTGTAGCTAGCATTTAAATTAAAACATTGAAAATACAGCTTACCACAGTATTTTCAGTTTTTTCCTACTTCTCTTTGGCTCTAACCTTCAGTAAATAATGTTACTGTTTGCACACGGAGAGCAAAAGAGAACATCACTCTTTTCACCATTTTGAGAAAAATAGCAAACTATTCTGAAAATACAAAACTATGTGCTTTTTTGTTTGCATAACTTGAATTAACACTTGGTAAAATATTATTAAATATTATACCTTTGCATGGACCACCAAAGGCACAGCCGTAAGTCTGAGGACTTATAACGCTAAAAACCGGGTTTCGATATCCGCAGTGGGCAGAGCACCGATAGCCTATTGTGTAGTTTTGCGCTTAACTACAAAACAAGTCAAACTTTTTCATGGTTAATTGTTTTGAGACTGTAGGAATAACTGTTTGAGCACAAATGATATAAAAATATTGTCTACACTTGTTGGATTAAAGACATACTAAATACAAATACAACTTCCTTCCTAGTTTCCAAGATTTCAGTATTCTGGGAAGCGATTAAAGTGAATACATTTTGAAAACCAAAGTAACTTGTCAGATATACAAATTATGTCCAGAATTAAATACAACTAAGTTTTTTGTTTTTCTAACATTGAAATTCAGTGTAAAATATTTACAAAAAAATAATGATACTAAGTGTAACATTGCTTGAATAGTTGTTTTCAGACACTGTACAGTTGAGAGAGAGTCATCAACATTATTTGCTTCAGCAAATGTTGTATTTAAAAAATTTCCCACAAAGCAACGAAAGGACTATCTTCGCAATCCGCCTCTAATTTTAGACTTGTAGACTAGACAGCTAGTCAACAGCAGTCACAGTAAACACTTGAGTTACTCTCATCTGAACGAATAGTGGGATTTGACTGTCACTGTTATAGCGTATCCACTAGCTCAAAAGTGAGGAGTATGTTCGTGTAGAAACAAGACGCGAATTCACGACCCGAGCACGTTAACCACAAGGCATTGTTCGGTTCCATTTCTGCAACAATTTCATGAGTATAAAAAATATTGATTTGAAATATCACAGAAACATTCTAAAACACTGCTCTACGTCAGTTTTCTCAATTGGGATTTTTCGACACTAATTAAAATTATTCAGTAAAGCTTGTTATGGATTTTTAATTATCATTTAGCAAACAAAAATTCCATATCTACGAGTCGAACCCGAGCTAAATGAACTAACCACTAGGCGATACTGAGAGTATCTACTAATCTATAGTTAATATTATAAACATATTATTGTCTTGATGTACGTGCTTATATTAGCATATTAATACCAAAAGCATTTTTATTTTTTGATAAAATAACGAATCTCTCAATTTCAGAAAATGCTAACCATATTTCACCAACAAGTTAAATGAGTCAGATACACCCCTAAAGAAAAATATAGACTTGCCTGACGCCGCGCGGTCTCGAAACTATGCCTTACGCATGTACGGTGAGGAAGATGGGGACAGTTTACTTTGAATTGGAGTCACAGTGGTGTAGTCGCATGGTAGCGGCTACGCAGGAGGAGACAGGCCGTGAATGTTAATAGTTCAACTTCGGTGTTATGTAACGCGGTCACTGGCCTGCTTGTTTCCTCCATGAAGGCTAAAAAGCGTTACTTTCTAGTTTTAATAAGCTGCGCGTTTCTTATACTGTGTTATTTCGGAAAGTACTATTTGTGGACAAATGGCAAGAGGGAAGCCAAGGGCTTTAGCTACACGAAACATAAGCTTCAGAGCTATTTGTCTACAAAGGAAGTGTACGGGGGAAAAGATTCAACTGTTTCCCCGAGGTCCAGAAGAAAAGAAAAAGTCAAGACAACAGATACTGTCAAATGTAACATGGCTAGATGCTTTGATTTTTCGCGTTGTATCGATGACTTTAAAGTGTACGTTTATCCAGTCGAAGATAGCATATCACCCGCTTACCAAAAAATCCTAAGTATTATTCAAGAATCGAGATACTACACCGACGATCCTAGTCAAGCTTGTTTGTTTGTGCTTTCTTTAGATACATTGGACAGAGACCACCTTAGCCCAGACTATGTGAAAAACATTCATTTAAAACTGCATCAACGAGCTAAGTACTGGAACAATGGTAGAAATCACGTGTTATTTAACCTTTATTCAGGTACTTGGCCTGACTACATCGAAGATTTGGGTTTCGATGTCGGACAAGCCATATTAGCAAAGGCGAGCACATCAGTGTCAAAATTCAGACAATATTTTGACGTATCTATTCCATTGTTTCCTAAACATCACCCCAAAAAGGGTGGTGAACGTGGCACCCTGACTTCAAATAACTTCCCCGTGAATAAAAAATATACGTTAGTATTTAAAGGCAAGAGATACGTGCATGGCATCGGTTCAGAAACTAGGAATTCTTTGCATCATATACATAATAATAAAGACATAATTCTTGTTACAACATGTCGTCACGGAAAGTCGTGGAAACAACTGAAGGATGAACGATGTGAGACAGATAACATTGGATTTGACAGGTGAGATTAACTCTTTAAACATTCATGTTCTTCCCCCTCCAAAAAAAAGTCACATTTTTATGTATTAACAAAAAGCTAAAAAGAAAACTGAGTTAATGAATATCAATGAATATGCCGGGCAAATAAGATTTTAGGTTGGATCAACAACAAGTTTAAAGAGGTTATAAATTCATTCTATAGGTCATTGGTTTGGCCAAACTTGGTTTACTGTATTCAGTCTTTGGCTCAGAAGAGGGGTAATAAGATGGTATCTGGGATGAAAAGTTTGTCATATAAGGACAGGTTAAAATCTCTGAATCTGTTTTCACTTGATAAAAGGAGGGTTAGAAGGAATCGTATTGAGGTGTTTAAGATTGTTAAAGTAATTGATAGAGTTGATGGATCATCTTTTGTTTGTACTTAATGATGAGAATGTTAAAACTAGGAGATACAAATACAAATTTTGGCAAGGTAGAAGTCATCTTTAGTTAAGACAGCTATATTGGTTTTTGGAATGAGTTACTTTCAGACAAGGTGGATGCAGTTAATCTATGGGAGTTTAAGATAAAAGTTTAATAAATAGGTGAATGATAAGGGCTAGCTTTAAGTGTTTTATTATTTATCCGGCAAAAAAAACACTAAAACACAAGTTATTTGTATTGTTTACGATGAAGCAGAACTTTTGATTCTGTATTAAACACATATTTCAATGGTTTCCAAAAACTCGAGCGCTATTGAATCCACTATTCTTCTTCTTCTGAGGCCATTGAAAGCCATTACAACTTTTGTATGTGATCCTATGAGCTAACTTCTTAATCAGAAAATACATATTTCATCCAAACTATATTTTTAAAAGCTTGAAGGTCAGATATTATTAACTGGAAAAACCATATTAATTTCTTATTGCTTTACGCATCACGGCAAGATATTTTTGGAAATTAACCAAATTGATTCCGTATTGTTTTACGCCTCACGACATCATGAGTCAGATATTGTTGGAAATTAACCATATTGATTTCTTCTTGTTTTACGCATCACGGGTAAGATAGTGTCGGAAATTAACTATATTGAGTTCGTATTGTTTTACGCCTCACGACATCATGAGTCAGATATTGTTGGAAATTAACCATATTGATTTCTTCTTGTTTTACGCATCACGGGTAAGATAGTGTCGGAAATTAACTATATTGATTTCTTATTGTTTTACGCCTCACGACATCACGGGTCAGATATTGTTTGAAATTAACTATATTGAGTTCGTATTGTTTTACGCCTCACGACATCACGGGTCAGATATTGTTTGAAATTAACCATATTGATTTCTTATTGTTTTACGCATCACAACAGAACGAAAATATCAGTGACTTGAAATTGACTGAAAGAAGAAAAATACAAATATGAAATAATTTGTTTGACCCAAGGAATCAGACTTGTACAGAAATGTGAATTAAGCAAAATGTTTAGTCCTTGTTAACTAGTATACTTACTATAAATAAAAACAAGTGGCGTTTGTTTTAACCTGATGTTTTCCAATATTTCGAGTGATCCACAAATATTAAATAAGCAAAGTAAACAAATTATTCATTTCAGCTCAATGTGGACCACAGAATAATCAAAAGAACTTACTCTAAGCCTCTACATTTGCGATTTATCGAAATACAAGTTTTAGGTGTCACTTTTTTTCCCTATTACTAATAGTACTTTAAGCTGATTCACCTAAAGGGTATTATAACAAAATATGGTATTCCTGATACGGTAACTCAGTTCTACTCATAACTGATTGTCAAACAGAGAGAAGGAGGGAAACATTTGAAGAGGTTCCGAACTACAATTGTATTATTCAAATATTTATAACTTAGACAAGATGTTAGAAAAGCTGATCTCTGCCAGGCACGAATGTAGTTCGATGTTGATAGTGTATTACCGTGAAATGTGTACAGTTACGTGTCTGATGGCATGAGATTCGTGTGTAGTACATGTATGATATGCAACTGAATAAATGATTTTCCTGCCGTCTACTTTATTTTTCTACAAAACGTGAATATTAAGCCTGCCGTTACAATGTAAATCAAGTTACAAAGTTCCCGCCAAAGATGTAGTATATATTTATATATATATATACTATTTTTCATTATATTATCAGTAAAATAATTTAACAAACATGCTTTCGGATATCGTTTCGTATCACTATATTACTGAATGATTTTGATGTTTAAATAAAACGCTTTTAATCTGTAGACACAAACAAAGGGTTCCAATCTATATCAGACCAACTACTCTGAATGGTGGTTTTTAAACTTCTTTGCTGTCTGTTATTCTTTTGAAGCTAGTAACTGATAGATATGAGTAAAAATAGTAATTTTTGTCTTATCAAAATCAACGGGAAATCATACTATTTTAACCCGCAGCTCATTACTGGGCTAGGTGTTAACGCTATGCCACTATATATATATACTACTCTGTTTTTGTTGTTTTTCAGGTTAAGTTTGCATAACAATAATTTCAACCTAATTGCTGGTAGTGGTACTAATGTTACCCTTTAACAACTCTGATATACATTTGGTCATAAGAGGTTTGCTAGAAACATGTGTACGGCGTGTAATAATAATAATAGAATAATAATTGACGAGTGAAGTTCTATTTGAAAAATAAGGCTTAGGATTTTTTTTATTTACGAATATTCGCACATACCTACTCAAGGGCTATCTTCGCCAACTGTCCATAATTTGGAACTGATAGACAATAGCGGCATTGTCACCCCTGGGGGTGCGAAATGAGGGTTCAAAGGATGCGCGGAAAAGGCCTATACAAGGTCTGTTCTCCTTCAAATGTTGCCAAGATGAAATGTCTAATGCACACCGTTTAGGAGAGGGATGCGAGGGCTTCCTTAGGGGTAAGAGGGATACAAAAGATTGGGAATCACTGGACTAGAGGAAAAGCAGACAGCAATCACCACCACCTCTCGATATATTCTTGTCTGACCGAATAATGGAATTTGACTGTCACCTTATGAAACCCCCACAACCGCAAATTGCGGAGTGCGATTTTATCTCCGGTAACGGAGGCGAATTTTAGATCCAAAGCTCCAGAGTCTTGCACGACAACGACTGGGCTACGCTCAACACGAGATTTAGGGAGAGATTATGGAAATTATTTATTGTGTAAAGGTGCATGTATGTGTAAAGGAAATAATAAAATATGTTCACTGTAACTATGTCAGTCCACTTTTTCATAGGTTTCTTGGTTCGTTGTTAAGCGCAAAGCTGTTCTGATGGCTACCTCCTTTGTGCCTACCACAGAAATCGAACCCTGAATTTTAGCATTATACGTTTATCACTGGGCCACTGGAGGGCTCTACTTTCTCGTGTTAAAGTCAAAATATTGGTAAGAAAATAACAACAAAATATATTTCAAAGATGAAAATACAAGAAAATTGAAAAGAGCATGGAGATAGTAAAGAGAATTAAATATGAAGAGTGATAATAACGATCAAAAGAAAGTAAGAAAAAAAAAAGAGAAATTGTTGGGAAAAGAAAAATGAAGCTTTAGCTAAATAGGAGAAATGGGGAATAATATAAAATATAGTTGAAAGTAAAAGACAAATGGGGGAATAATATAAAATATGGTAGAAAGTAAAAGAGAATGATACCTGCGACAAACAACCAAGGAAGACAAAGAGATATATTTGAACGTAAGAGTACAATTAATGTGATTCTGGAGATATGGTAAAGATATCTTCACGTTAACGGTTTAATTGGAGTTTTTTGGCGTTGCTAATTCCCACAAAGCTCCTAAATGATGTAAAAATTCTTTCGAATTCACGTTGTCTATCTAGAAATTTATATGTCCACAAACTCCTTCCACACAAATTTGGAACTATTAGACCAAACTTGGCTGGTGGACACTAGGTGGCCTGGGGCGTTGTATGGCGTAGTTTTCCTACCTTTATCTATTTTGGGTATCAAGGGGACTAACTCGCGTCAATAAGGTCATACACTTATGATATGGGGGGGGGGGGGGG